GCCTTTATTTATCCAGGTTAGTCTCATTGAGCCACGAGAACTCATTTTCAAGAGAGACCTGTTTAGGGAGCACATGGTGGGGGTTAAGGGCCTTGCTCATGGGCCCAGAGTGGGGCGAATGAGGGTGGGGGCAAGTGTGGGTGTTTCACCTACCCCACCCACAATTTTGATGTTGTCGGGGCCGGGGCGTGAACCGGCGATCTTCGGATCACAAGCCCACCTCTCTAACCTCTGCGCCACCACTCCCCCCTACTAATTAAGGATGACAGAGAGACAAACCTGACCAGTTTCTTGCCTAATAGTGAGCCAAGCCTGTCACCTATATATTTCATCTAGAGTTGTTATATTAAACATTTCAGGCTAAGTTACTCCCTTGTAAACACAATAGGCATTTACAAACCTATTTTTTAGGATATAATGTCAGTTGTAGATATTTATAATGCAGTGATAAAGTAAAATATTATATGCTAAATAAATATGTTTAAAAATGCTTATTGTGCTTACAAGGTAGTAACTTAGCCTGAAACGTTTAATATAACAACTCTAGATGAAATATATAGGTGAACAGATTTGGCTCACTATTTGGCAAGAAACTGGTCAGTTTTGTCTCTCTGTTACACTTAATTAATGCATAATAAGCAGTTATTAATGATTTATAAAGTCTGTATAGAGGAATTAATGTGTCTATAAACTATTATCCATCTTTATGGGGAGCCTTACTGTCTAGTGGTATCGATATTTCTCTTTACAATGATGAGGAAAAGTTTCTGCTCAGGTTTATTTGAGGGTGACACAGGAATACTGAGTTGACTATAAAAACTCTTGCTGCAGTCTCCCCTACATACCTACATGACATGCTTAAAAAAAAAAATATATATATATATATATATATATATATATATATATATATATATATTATTTACTTTTACAAACATTTTAGGAACACAATCAGCAGGTTTTCTTTAGTACATGTTTCAAAATATGAGAAAGTTGACAAAAAATACACTCCCACCACAGAATGATTAATAGTAATAATAAAAATAATAATAATGTTCAGAAATGGTTGTACTGCAGACCTGATTGTCCTTGAGATACAAAAATATGTATTTAGCACATCATGTTTTGGCTGACGAGTTTAAACTTTGCTTCGAGTGGCTTTTCAAACAAAACTTAATTAAAACGACTGTGTTTGAATCTATAATTACTTCTATTTAATGACTTTCATTCCACTCAGATGTGTGGGGCTGTGTTTCTAAAGGTCTTTAAAGCTTACAACATTAATTATAGGTAAATAAAAAGCACCCTCAAATTCAAAGGCAGAGAATCCCTGTAACGATTTAACTCCAGGTTCAGTGTTCTTAAGGACACGAGTGAAAGCAACACGAACGTCTGACTGTGATAACAAGTTCCGACTTGACTGTGCATTGATCTGGAGGGTTATGACTGAGAAGTTATTGGCTGCTGTCTCACAGAATTCACAGCATGCGCCAAAACAGACTCTGGGTGGATATGTTCTTCTTTTTTAAGAACTTTCTCCCACGTGAAAGAGCATAAAAAAATTGGATTCCTTCCTTTAGCTAAACAAAAATAAATCTTTGCAAAAACAACAGGACTGTTTCATATTCTGTTTAAAGAATAATGTGCTTTCAAAAATGCAACCATAAACCCAAACAAAGCTGATTTTCAAACTGATTTTTTTAAACATGCTGTCAGTATTATTTAATTTGATCTTTTCAAACATGTATGGGGAAACTGGTGGAGCTGTTTAAGTAGTATAAGTAGTTCTAGTTTAAGTAGTATAGTGGCTCCTCAGATTGAGGAAGTCCTTTGGATGAAGGACGAAACATCTCAGCGCAAAAAAAATAAACTGTCCAGATGACCTGACTGAATGTTGGATTTTATACCTGGATTATTGAGCATGAGCTTAGGTGTTTTGAACCACTTCGACATGACCATCTCAGAGGAGTTGATGGGGGAGAGGGCAGGTCCCGAAGAGGACGGGCCCCTAAGGCCATCTTAGTACCAGCAATCTGTTTATTCCCACTATGGAGTATGCTGTTTGTGGGAATCAGTTTTGTTTGGTGGCTTCTCAGGTTGTGGAAGTCATTTGGATGAAGGACAAAACATTACAGCACAAAATAGAAACTGTTCAGATGACCTGACTGAACATTGTTGGATTATATACCTGGATTATTGAGCATGAACTTTATAAACCAACACTTTTTACCATTTTGTGTTTACTAATCATCCACTGAACAATAATAAAGAGTTCTACTTTCTGCTGTGTAAAGCGTGAAACGGCTCGTTCACGTTTACCTTGTTTCTTTTCTATCATGCCGTGACACGAACAGACAGGCTGACCTTTCAGTCTCTTGGATGTTGGAAGCCAACTGAGCTCTGCTGCAGCGCGGAGCAAACATTATGTGTAAAAGACAGCAGAAACACAATGCAGCGGCAGGCTTTCTACAAGCAAACATTAAAATGAAATTCAAGTCATGTGCATATAACTGCTTTTAGCATCTTCGTTGCATTAAAGTTGGCAACTCTTATGCCTTAAGTCATAAATAAAGTAATATAAAAATTCTAAACTGTGTTTAAAATGCTGTGTTCCACTCCAACAAACAACAAAAACCACTACGAACCATAAGAACCTGATTTAGAGTTATGTCTTTACCCTTTACTATACACAGATTATAGTCAAGGCTGTATTAATATTATATTATATATTGTATATAGTAATATATATATATTAATATATTGTACTATCAATCAGCAAATACTTTCATAAATGCAGTAACTGACATTTACCTTTTTTTTTTTGCTGAGGCACAATTTAAAAACTCAGTTTTTTTTTTTTACAAAATATTTTACACAAACACCAACAACACCAAATAAGACAGCCCAGCTCTTTTCATAATGAAACACTTTGGTTAAAATTACACATTAATTTATAACTCCTATATTTGGTCGTAATTTTATGCAGACTTTGTTATTATGATTTATTTTTAACCATTTCAGAACAAGTCAAACAAACTATTTTCCAGTTTTCCTATCACTGTACACTACTATATAGATAAGAAAAAAATATATATATTCACACATATTTAAAAAACAGTGAAGAAAATACAACCTAAAATACAAAATAAATTAAAATAAAGTTGCTTGTCCTCCACCAACTCTTTCTCTACGAACACCTACCCCTGTGGGCTTCCTCTGTCATCCTCCTCTTCAAATTCTCCTGTTTTTCATTCTGTTGAAAACAAATTAACTCATTTCCTACCTTTTTATATAACTTATATTTGACTGAAATGTTTTTAACTAAGCACAAATGTGTTTGCGCACCTCTTTGGATTGGGTCAAAGCTGTGGTCATTTGAAGAGTCAGTGCTTTGAAATGACAAAATGAGTAATGTCATGATATCTCTATCTAAAGTACATTAATGCATTTAGCTCTTAGCAAAAACACGAGGCTGATATTTTGCCTATGTTTGTGCACATCTGGGCTGGTGTCTTGCTCTATAGAAGATTTTAATTTTATTGTAATTAACGTGAAAGCAACTGTAAAACTTTGAAATAAATTATGCTGTCTGTCCATTTGCTTATAAGTAACCAATCATTGTCTATAAGCCTCACAATAAAAAAATGAAAAAAAAAAAAAAGTTATGTGACGCTGCAGAAAAAGTTCCATCTGGAAGAAAATCTCATTTACCTACAGACTAATTTTCAATCAGAACTACAGAAAAGTGCCATCACTTACGCTTAGTGGAACTTGGAAGAGTGTCAAAGATGATAAATCAGGGCAAAGTCCTCCATAAACCCCCCCTTTTTCAAAATGGAATGTTCCGATTCAGTTTTAAGCCCCTGTATATCAGAACTACAGTAGCAAAAAAGGAAGGAATAGGCAGAAAGGTAATCAATAAAAAAGAAACAGATAACCCTTCTACTTTTCTGTGTCCAATTATTATAGGTTTAGAGCGGTGGAACTCAGTTTTTACAAAACCGTCACAGAAAAAAACAAATCTCTCTGTTTACACCTATTGCAAATGACAATAGAAAGCCGTAATACAAGCTTAAATTTATATCCAAAATACAGTAAATAAGAAAATTGTACAAATTCCTAACTTTATCACTAGTTGTATTTAAGATGTATCGGTCCTATGCTAAGAAAAGCACCACACACACTGCAGGCTTGGTTTATTTGTTTTAGACCACAATTAAAATCGAGGAAACTTGAACCAGATTTTGTTGCTGGCAGATTAAGTTTAATTCTATTAAATGACCAGTCAGCGGAAAATATTAAGAACTAGACCAAATGTTTCAAGCCTAGGCATTTTATTAGCCCCAATCTGAACGTCAATTGTAACAATGTCTGAAAAAGAAAACATTTTAAAACAGGTTTAATTTAAAAGTAGAAGCTTTATAATTTTTGACAGCTGAAGCTGTGAGCTAAAACTTTTCAAATAATTGTCTTCTGTGCTGATTTTTTTTTTTTTTAATTACAAAAGACATATACAAACTGATAATGATTAAGGCTGTGAATTTGAATTTGAGCAGACACTGGAGTTAGGCCAAGTGAGAGAAAGGCTGAGCTAATAGTAGTCTTGGGTTTATTTCCATGTACAATTCTCTCTCAAGGTCCTGTCGAAGGGCATCAGAGCAGTGATACGCTGCTTATCTCCTCCTCAGGCCAGACTGGATACCTCCATTTATCAACCAGTTATAGTTACACCGGCAAATCTCCAAGTGAACGGACAAGTCAAGGTTTTTTTTTGCATTTAAATGTATGCACATACATTAGCCTTTCCTTCGTTTCAA